AAAAAAAAAAATAATAAGATAGGGTTATTGTTAGGATCGCATATGCCAGAATACTGAGGAACCTGAAGTCTGTACACAATCACGTGGTGTTCTAGACAGTGTCAGGCACTATGAGCTGTGTGAAAAGGGCTGGTCAGGGGGACCAGGGCCTTCCTTGACACCCAGAACCGGCAATATCATCGTTGCCTTATAGCCTTTGATTCACAGAATTCAGCTTGGCCCGAGAGATGTCTAACAGGTGCTCCCATGTCTGGCATGAGTAACCTCCTAGGTGTGTGGCTCTGTATCTGGTGACCACGGAAATGGACCAGGTCTTGGAAGCATTGCTATGCCTGTGGTCAGAGGCAGAGATGTTCTTTGTAAAAAGTGTGGCTGAGTAGGGATGGATTTTCCTGCAGAGGAAGATGGGATACTGTTCCTGGGAATACTCGAACACCTGATGTGCAGAGTCAGTAGGATACTTAAAGTGCAGCTCTAGAATCAGACACTCCGGCCTTCAATTGTGGCTCTGTTAATCAGAGCTGTCTGGCAAATTTAATAAGTTGATACCTCTGAGCCTCCCGGTTTCTCCGTTTTTAAAATTAAGATTATAAGAAGTGTCTAATATTTGAGCGAATTCTAAATCCTTTATAGTCTCAGCCCGCTGAGGATTTGAAATAATAACAAGGAATAGCTCAGTGATGTTACTTGCTTAAAGGCACCCTGCTAATAAATTCCAGAAATAAAATTCTTTTTTTATCTGGGCACTGGGCATCGAACCCAGAGCCTTGTGCATGCTGAGCAAGTCCTCCACTATGGAACCAGATCCCGGCTTGAAAGTGGGTCTCTTAGAGGGTTGTCCGGAGACTTCTATGGGACCATAGGGATGAAACATTCTCCGAGCCACCTGGCAGACAGCAAGTAGTCCACAAACTTTTAACAATTGGGTATCACTTAAAATTAGTGTTTTCCCCTTTGGTCAGAGAGAAAAATGCAAGGATTACTGGAATGTCCATGTCATGGGTGAGAGGGGAAGTAGTGGCCTACAGAGATACTGGCCCCTGGCAGGTGTCCCTCCCACCTGTCCTGGATAGGGCCAGAGCACTGCCCTTGAAACTTTCTGTATTGAGAGCTTGCAGAAACCTCAGCTCAAACAGCTGGAGCGGGAACGGGTCTGATGGCTACCTGCTGCGTAAAAGGTCTCAAGAACATTAGGTTTCTAACATGAGCCGGACAGACCTATTCCCCAGGGAAGGTTGCTTGCACAGACCAGGCCGTGTGCACTTCAGAATCTGGCCAGAGTGAAGTCAGCCTCTGCTCTCCTGCTTATTGCATTAGTCCCAGTCCTGTGTGGGTTTAAGACAGACAGGGGTGTGCCCAAAAGGGGTATTTGTCAATCAGAATCGTCGATTCTTCAAGCAGCCACAGCAATCCTGTCATCTCTGATGGGGACTGGCTTGGAGGACACCTTCCCCAAGCTACACAGTAACACGGACTTAGGGGGGATGCTATAGGGAGTTTCTGGAAAGAGCTGTGTTCTTTTCTACCCGATATTTCTTTCTACTGGAGATTTTTCTGTGTCAAGTAAAGGGACCAACACAAGAGTCAACCAACTGCCCTGACATGGTTATTATGGTAAATGCACACACACACATCTTATTACCAGGTGCTGGTGAGGCTATGGGGAAACAGAAACCACTGAGCACGGCTGATGGAAGTGTAAGTTGGTACAGTCATTCTGGAAGACAATATGACAACACTCATGAAACAAAATGTGCCTGTGAGTTATGACTCATTCACTTCCCTGCCGGCTTCACAGCAGGGAGGCTCTCCCACAGTCCCCAGCATGGGTGCAGGGTGTTCATCAGAAAACTAGACTCGGTCACCTCACATCTACCCGCAGGGAACAGAAAGAGGATAGGAGACCAATGTAAGCCTGGGCCCATGGCAGGAAAAGGTTGGTCTCTCATAGGAACTAAGGGTACCCAAACAGGATTACTAGGGATTGAAATGGCTCATTGGTTATAAGCTTGGTCTCCTGCTCTGAGCCCACACAAGGCTGGACCTGTCGACGGCTATTGATGGAGGGGAGAGGGTCTTAGGAGGGTCCACCCCTCCCTGAGGAACTACTAGATGTTCTCAGGGCCATGGAATTGTTACCTTCAAATGAATACCTATTGGTGACACAGCAGGTGAACTGTGTAGCTCCAAACCTGTGGTCACTCAGAGGTCCTAGATTAAACTCGGGAGCCATAAAAGGAAACAACGATGACAACAAAAAACATGAACATGGGGAAAGAACCAGTCGGGGGCAGGGAGGGAAATTCACAGGGGTGGGGACAAGAGAAGATGGAGTCAAGGATAATGGGAACACATATACACCTGTATCTAATTGTCAAACAACACATTCAATTAACAACAAGAAGCAAATTCTTCTAAAAGATACACCCAGAGCTGACGGGGGACATCCTTCAATCCTACTCATTGGCCAGCAGCATTGTACCTAATATAAATCTCTGTGTGCTATTTTGGGCGCCCACGTGGCAGCGGGGCTCGGGCAACTCGGTGGAAAGATTTATCATTACACAGAGTTGCATCTCAGAGGTGATTCTAAGCACAGTCAACTTGACAGTGAGGAAGCAGGGCTGTAATTCTCTGTGGCCCACATTGACTTAGGAATTGCTTTCCTCGAGTGACGCTTGGTTGGAAAGGCCAGTTGCCTTGATTTAATCATTATACATTATATGTAGGTACCAAATCACATTTGAACTGGGCGAGCCATGGCCTGGAAGGAGGAAGGCAGAGTGGGCTGGACAACAGGTAAGATTGGCCTGTGACCCTTCGATGATTGCTTCTGTTCCTCCCCCATCAACACACCAGCGAGCTAACCCACTCTGAAAATGTATTTCTCAAGTGTCTGCCAATGCAAAGCTACCGCAGTAAGACACTGCATGATGGAAGTCATTCCTGGGGTGTATAATCTAGTTAGGAAGCCAAGACTTCAACAGGAGGAAGGCTAGGCAACCGTGGAAGAATAAAGAATAACACAACAAAATCAGACTGTCAAGGTTTAACTTAGTGTGGGTCCTGTATGCTCTGGACACGGGAGTTCAGGATCACAGTGGGTTTGTGTAGTATCCTCTGAAAACCAGATTTCAAGGGCAGCCATAAGTTGGAGAGTGAGTAGCAGCAGCTGAGTGCCTGAAGCAGAGAGGGAGGTTAGTTTTACGTGTTCAGAGCGAGCATTGTGCTGCTGCTGCAACAGAAAGGAAATAATGGAGCCCTGGAGAAGGGGTGTAGGAGTCAGAATGATGAAGACTCTGAGAGCCAGGCAGAGGATTCTTACCTGGGAAACAGAGATGCAAACACTGCACAAAGTTGTGCGGTTGAAAGCCAAGTGTGGGGAGACTGGCTCTCAGCAGGGATCCAGCAACCACAAACCCCACCCCCCACCACCTAATGAACGATTTTCAGAAACTTAAGCAGGGAAGGAGTCATAAGGAGCAGAAAAGCTGGGTGTCACCTGCGGGCATTGCAGTCATCACCAGTCCATAATGCAGAGCCCAGATGCCATCTCAGAATTCATTCCCTCTCAGGGATCTAGGCAGATGCCATCCTCTGACCAGGGCAGCAAGTCCAGCCTTATCTCGCAGGGTGCATTGAGTCAGGAGGGCCATGTCTTGCAGCAGGAAGATACATCTCAAATTCAACCTGTCTAGCGTCACTGGAGAAATCGATCTGAAGGTCTATACAACTATCTCCACCTTTCATCTTGCTTTTTATATTAGAGCTAATACTTTTATCTGTTAGTTCTCAAACTTGTGTGTGAAGCCTTAAGTGTAGGTCGGTCTCAGGCTGTTTATAGTACCTAAATGGTGGAACGGATCTGCCAAAACGTTTGCAAAACGTGCCGACTGCCATTCATCAGCTGCATGGAGCTAGCAAGTCTCGTGTAGGCTCAGTATCTTCGTGCCAGCAAGCTTCCTGAATCAGCGGTGGCAAATTGAAAACTGAAACCTACTGCCATCAAAAGGACCAACAGGTCCCAGGCAGTCAGTTTACGATGATGGTTGGGTACAAAGGTGCCCAATAAATTGGAGGCCGAAAACCATCGTGTGTGTAGTCTGTGTTAAGTATGACTCTGCTCATATTCTGAAAGGGTAAACACTGTTGCAAAGCCATGACTCACGTTCTGCCAGGCCCCTCCTCCCTCCTCAGAAAACAATGTTCGCTTCCACCTGAGGTCAAGTTCAAGATCCTGATTGGCAAGAAGAGTTTCCAATACAGCGCTGAGCAATGCTTAGAGGCTGAGCCCCCCTTCCAAGAACCTGCACCGAGGGAGGAAATAACAAACTCACACTACCTAGAAGTTTGCTACTACTAGCCTCACCTTTGACCAGGGATGGACGTTGACTAGCTCCATGAGGTAGTTTTGTTTGAGATTGGGTCTCAGGTACCCACAGCAGGCCATGAGCTTACTATACAGACCAAGAACTATGAACGCCATGCCTCTACTTCTCAAATGCTGTAGTTACAGGCAGGAGCCACCATGCTTGGTTTTATGCAGTGCCAGGGCACGAACCTTGGATTTCATGTGTGCTAGTTAGGCAGCAACCCTGTCAACTGAACCGTATCGCTAGTCCTGAGATTAATCACGATTCATCCAGGGGACAGAGGTTTTGTGTAATCTTTTTAGAAATCTAACAGGTAAAATTTTATGTGCAGTGAACAGCATGGTGCTGTTGAGGTACATTCATTGTGAAATGATGAAATCTAGCCAGTGAACATACCTATCACCTCATATAGCTCTCATGTTTGGGGGATGAATATAATATCCATTTTCTAAGCATTCTTCAGGACCGTAAGGCGGCACTGAGAATTACAGCCACCACATAGCACAAGTCTCTGAACTTACCCTTCTACTGGGCTGGAGGAATGTTATCTTTTTGATCACTACTACATCACAGATCTCTACTCTTCCAACAAGCCCACCCCCTCTACTTCTGTGAGACCAACTCCTTCCTAGTAAATATGTGGGTGAAAACAGGTGGTTTGTCTTCCTGTACCTGAGTCAGGATATAAACAGACATTCACACAAACAGCATTGAGCACGTGTACGAGAGTGCACACGCGCGCGCGCACACACACACACACACACACACA